ATATTTTAATGAAGTAATTTTAGGCATCTGGATTTACAGCATAAATAATTCAAGCAAATGAATTACAATTATAAATACCAGTTGACAAACAACCCATGATGAAGTAGCTGAGTTAGTGGAAAATGAGAGTTAGTAAAATTTATTACATAAAGTAAAGATTATTATAAGTTGTAAATCTCTCTCACCTTAAAAAAATAATGAAGATTATATAAAAAAAAATCTAAGCTGTCACACAAGACTAATTAGATTGTTTAGACCAATTGAGAACATGAAAGAATAATAATGTTATACAAACAATAAAAAGTAAAAATGTGAAAGATTTTGCTAATTCAATCAGACAAAATGATAAGTTTAAACCAATTTCGATATTCAGTTCAAAAGCTATTTTTAATGAAAAGAAGAAAAATAATGTGGGTTTATATATTTTTTAACTTATGTGATGTCATTAAAATGATAATTGAAATTGACAAGTTTAGGGTGCAAAGACTTTAAAAACTTGCTTTGACACATGTAGCAAACTGTATGAGAGTGCCAAGTCATAAACTGTAATTGTTTACATTTTTTTACTAAACATCTGTTAAAACTAATTTTTAATTCATAAGAGAACAGATAATGTTTGATTCACATAAATTACAGATAGATTTTAGGTTTTCAAATTCCTCTTTGATGACCAAAATAAAATAATTTTTAGAATTTTTAAAATGTAATAGATTAAGCTGTGTTTCTTTTTTCAAATAATTTACAGTAATCATACATTTAAGTTACTCTTCCTCTGAGATATCTTTAATAAATGTGAAGTAATTAACAGAAATTATGAAAGAAACATATATGTAAGGTTTTATCAAATAGTTGTTGAATAGTTCGATCAAAATGTATTTTGTTTTATGTAAATTGAATAACATTATATAAAGTTTGTGTCAAAGTTGACATGTTGTTTTAATTGTGTTTGAGATTAACACATCCATGAGTGTAATTTTTTCTGAATTGAAACATGAGTAAAATATCATTATCAATATTTCATTAGGAAATAAGTTGATGTAAATCATGATTACATGAATAAAAATTTATTCGGTCAAAACTAAGTAGATGATTTATTTGAATAAAAATTAAGAGTATAACCAATTTTTTAATATATTAGAATATGAAGAAGAAGAAAAAACCTGATCGCTATCTAGAAGTGCATTGTAGCTTTGGCCTCAGTAAAGTACTGTTAAATATAAATCACAATATTCACAAATATTTACACTATATCTTAGATAAGAATCATTATCAGAAGGTTGAACTAACTTTTTTAGAACTTTTTTACAATCCAATTCTGTGTTTCCAAAGAAAGTGAATCCTTGTGTCTCACAATATGTATAAGATTTACAGTTCTGACATTTGCTTTTTCTATATTTACGAAATGTTTCAGCATTTACAAATATTAATGTTCTCTTAAAATTCTTCAAATAATTTGTCTCAACATATAGTTGCTTTCCTAATCTTAACTTATGAGAAAATCAAGAACCATCTTTGTCAATATCGATCCAGATGTTTTTGAGACAGTATCGTACATTCTATTTGTATGGGGTAGAAGGACTATATAATGAATTATATTTTTGTATCAAGTAGTATCTGGTTGCAATCTTGTTGAAATAGTAATAATAATGATGGTGAAATGTTTTGCACACAAATTTTAGTTTTCGAAATTCACCAAATCTTTTATCATCTAATATGATCTTTGAAGCTGGAGTCAAGAAAAAAAAATTTTCATAATGTATATTATAAGGCAATAAAATAAGATGCTATATATTATTAATAAAATATGGATCAAGTTTACATCTATGATATTTTCTTTTTTTTTTGCTTTTTTGAGATGTTAGTTTCATATTGAATTACATGAATAAATCTCTGCTCAGTAGAACTGAACAGATTATTTATTAAAGAATATTAAATGAAATTTTTCAAATTTCTTATTCTGTTCCAATAATCTAATATTGTAAAATTTTTTGATTCTAAAAATTCATTATTTTCATTATAAAGATTATTGAAATATTCATTACAATCTTTGCAAATTTTTATACAATATGATAAATAATGATTTTCAACAGACATAGGTTTGATCTTTTTACGTAAAGCATCTTTACATTCTGATTTACAATAAGTTGGAAAATCATAAGAATATACTACACAATATGTAAATGATTCGCAATTCTGATATCTGCTTTTTCATATGTTTCAAGTTCATTCGATTCAATAAACATCAAAGTTTTCTTGAAATGATCATAGTATAATTGATTATTATGTGTATGAAGTTTATGAGAGTAAGAAAATTTAGAGTAAGAATCAACATCACCATCTTTGAGGTCAATTCAGATGTTTTTTGGACAGTAACATATGTTCCATTTGAAACATTTTGGTGGTTCATGATCTTGATTGTATTTCTTTTGGATCAAATAATATTTTGTTCCAAATTGAGCAAAATAATATCTATAAAACTGACAGAATAATTTATACACAAATTTTAGTTTTCAAAATTCAATAAATCTTTGATTATTTAATGTAAATTTTGATGATTTTGTAATATCTGAAGGTATTAATAGTAAAAATATTATATAAAGTAAATCATCTGGTAAATAAATAAATAAATAGTCTTCTGTTTTTAAAATTCTTTATAGAATACAGATTAATTTTTTTGTGTTTGTTTTTCTTGAGACATAATTATGTAAATAAACTTCTGTTCAGTATATTTTATTGAACAGATGAATTTGTGAAATGCTAATTGCGTCTATGATGTATTTATATAAATTTACTAATAGAATACATGTTCTTTTACAAAAGTAAGATCATTGTAATAAATTAATTTTGTTATAATTATCATCTTCAAATCAATTAATGATTCGATTGATAGGTTGTAAAGTTGAGAAAAGGATTTCAATCAGTTATGTTTTTCTATTAATAGTATAAAATCATTGAATTTATCAATATCAAACTTGTTTTTTGTTAGAAAGTTTATTAGTGAAAAAGATCTTTGCATCTTTATGTAAAGTTTTGTTATCTCAACATAATCTATAATTTTGATCTAGTTGTTATCAAATAATTAGTATTGCATCTTGTTAAAATTAAGAGAGAAAGAATTTTTTTTACCTTTATATATGTTTTTGTTTACTTGATTTTGGTTGTTCATTAGCTTGTAATTTATGTTTACATGATATATAAGAGTAATAAAATTTGTCTAGTTTTAATTGAGTTTTTTGTTTTTTATTGTTTTTCTGTTTGTGTAATTCTTCAGTTAGTTTTTGTTTAGTCATATCAGGTATTGTTTTAACAAACTCAGTTATTTTTTGTTAGTTATCTTCAACAAAAAATTCTGTTATTGTTTGTTGCTTTTTAAGTTCCTCAGCATCAAATATTTTCTTTATTTTTTTAAGAGCTTGCTTCTTTTCACAGTCTAAAAGATGAGCCACAATGTTTTATAAGCTATAAAAATAGTATATGATATCAATAGTATCTTTTTCTGGAGTAAAATGGTCTGTTAAAATCATTTTGTGTGAAACATTTGATACACATGATAGAAATTTTACATAATAGTAAAATCATCCTGGCTTAATAGGGTGTTTCAATCTAGCAATAAAACTATTAACCATCTTTTTTTGTATCAAATTTTGTAATTTGCTTAAGTATTTCATTTTGTTCTTCTTTTGACAGATCTTTGTTTAATAATCTTACAAAATCAACTGCTAATACTAAAGCATATGTTGGGTCAAACTTGGTTGTAATAACAAACAAGTCTAATAGTGTTTCTTTTTTATTAACATAGTTAGTGATTATCTGAATGACTAATTTTTTTTGGTTTATTTCTTCTTGTCTGATCGAGAAATCTTTATTGAATCCAAGTGAAGAATATATTAATTCTTTTGCCACTAGTTTGTAAAACTCTGGCACATTATGTTTAATAGTTTTGAGACCTTTCAATAGTAAATTTAAATTGTCTAAATTTGGCACATCTGAATGAGTAATTGCAACATAATGCTTTTTTCCAAAAATTAAAAAGAGGTATATGGTTTTTTCATAGGCCATCTTCAAGTATGTGGATTTCATAATCTGTTTCAAGTATTCATTAATTTTTGTTTCTAGTATCTTTAAGTATAATATTGTTAATTTGATCTGCTCCTCCCATTACTATTTTTTTGATAATAATCTGTCAGAGTACTAGTATCAAGTTCTGTAAAATATGATTCTGGCAATGAATAAAATATAGAATCTGTGTCTCCATAAACTACTATAAATCTTTGTTCTTTCATAAAATCAATCATGATCTTTAATATTGTTTTACAAAATGCTGTAATTGATGAAGCAACTTCTTTATAATATAATGGTGAATATCTGTAACTTGTCTCACCATACACAGAGTTTACAAATATTTTTAATGCATTTGATAATGAAGTGTAGTATAAAAGTTTTATTTTATCATTCTTGAACAATTTCATCTTTTGCTTCACATTATTTTGTTTTTCTAATAATTCTTTACACATGAGAGCCATAATACCCATGTTGTTTATATTATTGTCATGTGGTAAAAATTTACCATAGACAATGTCATTGTCAATTACAATATTTAAATTAGAATTTGTTGAATCTTTTGGTATATGTTTTTCAAGTAATATGTTGTTTTGTATAATAGCATAAGGGTAATATGAAGTAAAATCAACATCTGCTATAGGTCTTTTAATGTTTTTAATTAGTGGAATGACCAGACATCCATTATACATTCCTTGTTCAACAATTTCCTTGCATCATAATAATACTAAAATCTTTTTAGATAATGCATATTTGCTAAGCAAATTTCCTATTAAACATTCAATACTATTGGTGAAAACATTAGAAATTGTCACACATGCAATTCTGGCTCTTTGTATATAATCACCAATTATGTTTCACTTTAAGTTTAATTCATGTAATCACAATATGTCAACTGAACAATAATATGTTAACTCTATCACATACTCTTTTAATATTAATTCTAAAACTTGAAATGCATTCAAACAATCAGAAAAAGGAATGTTTATTAATTTTGACAGCTGATCAGATAATTTTTTTAACATCTGATTATTGTTTTTAAACTTTATTGCATTTATATAAACAAACATGCATTATAGATCTGAGCTGTTTTTTGTAGGCATATATGGTAAATCAATTTTTCCAGAAAGGCCACAATGTTTTAATACTGCATCAAGAGTATTGGTAATCTTTATTTGAAATGTTTTCTTAGCCCAGACCAGAAAATCAAGAAATACTGTTCATAGGATTCAAATGAATTCACATTTCATAGTCTCATTTGGTGATATCTTGATCTTTCGATTGTTAATATTTATTTCTTTTTTTTTTTTTTTTTTTTTTTTAAGGTGAGGTTTTGCTCATATCTTTATTAATTTGTTAAAGAAGCCTCCAAGGGCTTCTTTGGATATAAATTACAAACTTATTCCAATTACAAATGTATTACAAGAATGGAGCTCAGACTATAGACAGATTTCTATCTAATTTATCTGCAACCTAAACCTACTAGAGTGGTTA